TTTCATCTCCTCATACTTCTCCCTCCAGCTCAACTTACTCTTGGCCCCTGATAAGCTGAACAACGTGTTCAGGGTTGGTTTAAGCTCAGCCTCTTTCTCTCCCTGAAATTTCCCTGTTTCGTGGGCTATTCGAACCCTGCGGGCGACTGTCAGGTTGTGCTCAGAGGACGTGCCCAAACATTGGCTGTGTGAGGTGGGAGATTCGGTCTCCCTGCTGTTTGAAGGTCCGTTTGAGTCACTTGCAACCGCTGAGCTATTCTCAGTCATCCCTTGTGTCGTCCTGGCTGTTTTCTGCTTTGGCTTGTTGACCGGTGAGGATTGCACAGATGTAGCTGCAGCAGAGGGGGTGTGAAGTGCGGCCTCCTCGGCGTGGTTTCTGCAGGAGCCACCTGCCGGCTGCTTCCTCTCACTTCCAACTTGCAGCGTGGTCCCGTGATCAGCCGCCCGGACGCCTCCCTCGCCGTTCTGCCTCCGGGCTTCACGATCTGCTCTACACGGCTCCCTCACACCAAGCGCTCTTCTGATTTGCCACAGCATCGCACTGACATCGATGTCCCGTATGGGAGCTGCGTTGGCCGATCGATTTTCAGAGTCAGGCTGAGCTGAACGTGGACCTTCCTGTCCTCGCTCAGAAGATGCCGTACTCTCCTTCTGGCCATGATCAAAGAAGATGGCTCCGTTCTGAGGGAGGTGATCACTGGTGAAGTCTGATGGACACTCGTACTGCTTGTTGTAATAGTCATGCTGGCTGATGGTTATCTGCTCTGGCTTGCTGGTGACACCTGTTTGGGTGATGTGTGATCTTCTAACAAGTCTGTCTGTCTGGGAGCTCTCACTTTGGACTTTGCTGCACTGACTGTTCACAGAAAAGTTGCCATCATGCCTCAGCTGGTGACTTGACCGGGTGAACTGGTTCCGGACATTAGGGTGATGCCAAGTTCGACCTGAAGGCTCTCCGGGCAAACAAGCAAATCTTTCACTTTGATTCTGCAAAGTTGATTCTCTTTGATGACTGGACACTTTATTCTCTTTATTTTGTACAACCACATTGTTGCTTTCTTCCTGCTGGGTTTTCCGCATCTGTTGCAGCGTCCTCCTGTTCACTTGTTTGGAGTTTTCCAGCTTCACTACTTTGGACGCCACCGTGTTTTTTCTCACGGCTCCCTCTTGCATTTTTGCAAGTTTCTGACCAGCCATCTGCTTCAGTTTCTTTTTTTTCTTTCGCATTGCTTTCTTCCTGTAATGGAAATAGACCATGTTTCAAAACAACAACAACATATTTTATCATAAAGTGATAAAAATGCAAAAGCAATCATTTTGACTCAATAACAACTAAACGTGAAATTCTTACTCCTCTTTCTTCAGCTTCTTGTTTCTCTCCAGGATTCGGCCCATGGTCTCAGGGCTCAGAATCTTAGACAGAGAGATGGGCTTTACATTTTTAGACATTAAGCTCTTCAACTTGGCTTTGTGTTCAGCGGTGGAGATGTGCCGAGCATACTCATTTAAACCCATGGAGGACTGCTTACACGCCTGACATTCATGAAATGAGCCGCTGTGGAAAAACAACAATAAACCATATTTTTGGTCAGATTTGAGTAGATGTCAGAGTCCCGGCTTCAAGCTTCTGCAACAGATTTTAAGATCAAAACACAACATGAGAGTTTTGGGTCAGTGCATGTTGTGCATGGTTATATTATCTTTGTATGGCAGGGAAACACTCTTTTTGATACCTTACTTTAAGGAATATAAACATGTTTTTCTTCTTTTCTTTTTATGTAGTCAAACTAAATGTTAAAATTCACTGAACAAAATTATAAACACAACACTTTTTGCCCCCATTAATCATGAACTGAACTCAAAGATGCAAGACTTTCTCTATATACACAAAAGGCCTATTTCTCTCAAATATTGTTCACAAATCTGTCAAAATATGTTAGATGTCGCAAGTTTTGAGGGAGCATGCAATTGGCATGCTGACTGCAGGAATGTCCACCAGAGCTGTTGCCCGTGAATTGAATGTTAATTTCTCTACCATAAGCCGTCTCCAAACGTGTTTCAGAGAATTTGGCAGTACCTCCAACAAGCCTCACAACCGCAGACCATGTGTAACCACACCAGCCCAGGACCTCCACATCCAGTAACTTCACCTCCAAGGTCGTCTGAGACCAGCCACCCGGACAGCTGCTGCAACAATCGGTTTGCATAACCAAAGAATTTCGGCCCAAATTGTCAGGAACCGTCTCAGGGACGCTTATCTGCAAGCTCGTCATCCTCATCGGGGCCTCGACCTCAGTGCAACTTCGCACAGCCATTGAAGAGGAGTGGACCAACATTCCACAGGCCACAATCAACAACCTGATCAACTCTATGAGAAGGAAACATGTTGCACTATGTGAAGCACAAATGGTGGTCACACCAGATACTGACTGGTTTCCGGACCCCACCAATACAGTGAAACTGCACATTTTTGAGTGGTCTTTTATTGTGGCCAGCCTAACACACCTGTGTAATACCCATTCTGTCTGATCAGCATCTTGATATGCCACACATGAGGTGGATGGATTATCTCGGCAAAGGAGAAGTGCTCACTCACACAGATTTTGACAGATTTGTGAACAATAGAGAGACTGAGATTGAGAGACTATTGACATACTCCTGAAGAATAACATGACAACACAACCATGACATTTGTTGTGCATAAACTCTTACTCAACTCAGCCCAAAATGTCTTCATCATCATGTGTTTTACTTTTTTTAGTTTTGCATCTCTTGCATATTACAGTACATTTGTTTATTAGATATTACTCACTTGCCCAGCACCGTCTCCAGCTCTCTGTGATGCAGCATACCATGCATATGCTCATGGCCTTCCTGTAGTTAACATATTTTCAGAATTATAGATCATTTATAAGGGTTGCATGTTGGAATAATCACACATTAACCAGCACAGCTACTCATGTAAATAAAGTTAGAGGCACTTACATGTTTCAAATACGACCTGCGACACAAAATACAGTAGATATTTTTGACCTTCTGTGGGGACAGTGCGTGGCTGTTTGTCTTCTTCTTCACAGGGGTTTTACCCACCTTCTCAAGTTGGGTTTGAACGTTTGCCATTTCTGAGCAGGTGAAACAAGACAGATCTTAACAGCAAACACATGGAAGCTTTGTAGTTGCATCAACAGCATATCATCACAGATTAAAAAGTATAGCCAATAGAATATAGTGTCGCTGGACACAGTTTATAATCACTTTAACACTGCGATCATCGAGCCTAAACCTGTAACTGCAGCACAACGTGGTTAAATCATCCAGTGTGCACATGAATGGCCCCTGCGTTACGACTCACACAAGATTTATTATTTAATTAACGGCGTTTGAGTAACTTCTTCACGGATTATAAAAGACTAAATTTTATATTTAAATTGTAAACACATCATAATTACCAGACACATTTCACATGGAAACAACACTCAACTGCTTCCCAACCGCCATGTCTCTTCTTCTTCTTTGTTTTTAGTTAGAGACTCGCAAACAAATTTACCTCGCAGCGCCACCTACTGTGTCGTAGTGTGGAGTCATGGCGGCGTTAGATCATCATGAACACGGATTGGTCCTTAGAAAAAGCAAACACAACAAACACCCTATTTCCTAATCCTGCCTGGATTATATAACCTACCAACCCCTCTTCTGATTTCCCTACAGTCCTGTCCTGTGGGTCAGCAGTGATTTTAATCTCCATCCCTGCCCTGTGTCATGTATTTTTTCCTGATGTCTGCCTCTCTGAATTATATTCAGCCTGCTAGGATCATAGACAGTATATATAAAAAGGCTAGAGAGCATGATAATGTGTTTTACATCTTCCACTGACACAGGTTGATTGACCTTTTAAAAATATTTATAAGGTAGAGTGAAAACCTGCGTGCCCGAACCTTGAACCTCTCTGTGGTTATGATTAAGCTTTTGTACTTCTGTACATTAGGCTATAATAATGTCTCCTTTATTATCTGTATCTTATTCCTTCTACCAGGTGTCAATTGCAGTTGTTCTAATCACAGATTTTGCCTCTCTCTCTCTCCCTCTAAGAGCCTTCTTTGCCAATTTGCTCATTGCCTCTAAAAACCAAATGAGCAGCGAACAAAACTGCACTTCTATACCCATACTTTGTAGTCTTAAAAGCAACTTGTGGATTTCTATCATTAGATCGTATTCTCTGTTTGCTTTGGGGACAAGGCTCTGTGAGCTGCTGCTTAATCTGAGTAAATTACTTGCTCTATCCACTAATGGACAATCATGACTGCAATGATGCCAAATATGTATAGGCCAGTCTTTGATATATATTAACATTAAATTCTGATATATACCCACTTGCCCATCATTAAAAATCTTAACCATTTTTTTACATTGTCAAAAATGTATAGAAGTTTCTTTGAACGTGATCTTTAACAATAAGATGAATGTTATCTGTTAATGGCCAGTTCTTCTTTTCTTCCACTTTTAAAATTAATACATACATCTGGGAGAACCCATGGGGGAACATTTCTTTAAACAACAGATCGACTATCGTTTAACTCTTTCAGACCCATGTTTTTCGGGAATCTCACTATATTCCATTCAAAACCCATCATTGATCTTGGTATACATACATTCACTTAAAACTTCAGTGGTGTTCCTTTCCAGTAACTTTAGCTACTGATAGTTTCCCTGGTCTAACATTTAATGGCCACTCACCAGTTTACATGTGCTTTGTATGATAATAACATCAAACCATAACCTCAAATATTTAAATTCTGGTACTCTCTCTAAAGGTTGTACATATTTTTTATATGGATATCTAGCCTATATCTATTAGTCAAAATTAATTGGTGCTTTCTTTCATGTAGCTGAACAACATCACGTCCGCCATGTTTGTCTACGTAAATGACGTTACGTCTACGTCGACCAATCGTTCGTTAAAGAGGACACCGGAAGTTTGGCAGCTGGCCGTCTTCGTAGATCTACAAACGACGAGATGAGAGCGAGTCGATGATTTCACAACGATGTCCGGTAATGAGGTTGTTTTTCAGATCTAAAGAGCTGCAGGGAACACCTTTCCGTACGGAAAAGGATTTTTTGCAAAATATTTTTTAGCTGTTTGCAGTGTGTTATCGCCAACGGACATAAAAAAAGGTTTCAGTTAAAATGTGCAACGGCTGTGTGCTTAAAGAGTACCCGGACCGGGTAAGTTGAGACAACCAGGAGACCCCACTACTTGTTTTGACAAACACTTACGTTAGTAAATGTAACTTATAGCTACTAAGGTTATAACGTTAGTCTATGAGTTAAGGAATGGCTAGGTTAACTAACCACCTCAAACAATGATGCTGTTGTATAATATCCTGGGTGTAATTGAGAAAGCAAAAAGAGAATAAGTGTTGATTTCCTGCTCAGGGGAACACTTGTCTGGAGAATGGCTCTTACCTGATGAATTACCTGGGCTGCGCCAACTGCCATCAGAGGGACTTTGTGCTGATCAGCAATAAAACCACCGAGGATGAGGATGGAGAGGAGATTGTCACATATGATCGTGAGTGACTGTTCTTGTCCCACTAGGACAGACAACCAGTTGTTTTCAGGTGTTCTCATTGTTGTGGAGAACCTCCAGATAATAAACTACATGGTCAAATGTTTAGGTACTTCTGGGGCAGTTTTTCCAGGTTTGGGCAGGAACCCCTAGTTCATTTTAGGTAAATCCTAATGCCACAGCATACAGTGATGTTTTAAGACAATAGTGTGCTTCCAAGTTTGCAGCAACAGTTTGTGGAAGATTCTTTTCCTGTTTCAACATGTCAGCGCCAAGGGCCATTAAGAAATGTTTTCCCACTTTGGTGTGGAAGAACTGCACAGAGCCCTGACCTCAACCCCATTCAACACCTTTAGGATGAAATGGAATATCAACTGCGAGCTGGGCCTTATCGCCCAACATTAGCGACGCAGCTCTCTAATTGTGGCTGATGGGACCAAATATTTTCTATCAAATTGCCCCTTGTTGGATTACTGTAAAACTTAAATTAATAACCCGGGCTTTTATTTGCTTAAATCACTGAACTCACCCTGCCTATGGGACAGGCCTTTAATTCCTTTACTATGCCGGTAAATCTTAATGAATCATACTCATTGTTTTCATAAAGTGAACTAAACAATTGAATTGTGGAGAATCTAACCAATCTTAACAATGTGTAGCATGTCCATATTGACAAAAGTTTATACATTTATGTTGGGATACATGATCAAAGCAACTTAGAACTAACTCAAGCAGATGACCTGGTGGGTTTAAGAGGGCATCTAATTGGGACTAGGCATTTAATTGTAGTTTTACTGTAATAAAGTTGTTTGTATTGTATTGCATTCCTGCAGCCAGATTCCAAATTCTTGTAGGAAGGAGTCTGAATATTTTGTCATATATATATATAATCCACTAATATCCTTCTTTTGTCTTTCCAGATGCTTGTAAAAACTGTGACCATGTCATTGCCAGGCACGAATACACTTTCTCTGTTGTTGATGAATATCAGGTAAGGCCTCTCTATACCTGTTTATTGACCACCACTAAGTAGATTTGTATGTGAGGAAAATAGGCATTTCAACTTTTAACTTGTTATCTAACATACAGTATTCATGGCTAGTTGCTGTCACTATGTTTTGTGTTGTCCAGGAGTACACTATGCTCTGCATGCTGTGTGGAAAGGCCGAGGACTCCATCAGTGTGTTACCAGATGACCCCAGGCAGTCCGCACCTCTCTTCTAGACCACCTGCAGGTCACGATTCACTTTTTAAGAACGAGTCTCGCCCACACAGCTGCTGGCTGCTGGCTTCAGGGTTCCAACCATTTTAATCATCTATTAAAATTTTTTATGCACATCTTCAATTAAGTAAATGCCATATTTTAAGTTGGCTGTGTATGAACTACTGTATGCTGATATACGTTGAACAGGACACGACTTTTTATTGCCCTACATGACAACAACAGACATTATGTATGTTGATTGACAATGTAACTTTAAATAAAACTTTTTTACTACTAAGATTTTTATTACCATCTTCACTTTTCTGCTCAACACAGACTGATGTTGTAAAATCAGAATGAAAAAGTAAGGGAGCCTACCATGTACAGCCAAAAATAGCTATAATTTGTTACGAGAAGACATTGGCTAAAGTTGAAATGTCAAGAGTTTTTAAAAACAAAAGTAAATTTATCTGCTTATATGGTTCAAAGTTATTTATTTTTTGCCAAATAGCTTGTCCCAAAATAGTTTCTCATAGCCACCAAACTGTTGGGAGTGTTTTGATTATGTTAATCTGGGGCACCGACATGCTACTCCTGTTCATTTCAAATATGGGGAAGACAGTATCCAAGTCCTAAAAAAAAAAAAAATCACCACAAGGTCAAGAGTAAACTTAAACCACTTTTTGTCTTTATGTGTAAGTGCTCAGAAAAAAATTTAACTTTTGAAAACTTGTGCGGTCGTTTCTGTTCATTAAGTTGCTTGTTATAGTGTCAACATCTGGCCATTTATTGAAGTTTCAGTTTCCTATGTAGCAGTCATGATTCATAACCTACTTGCATCTGCCATACTGGACCCCTCATATCGAAATCCATCCACTTCCTCATATATATACAAAACGTTAGTTGTCAGAGTGGAGTTATATCAGAGCTTATCTCTATTGAGATTCAATCCTTCTTTCACGTCCACACGTTCTTTAACGTACACTCTCACTTACTGGTGTTTAACATGTGGGTACATTTTGCCTTCTTCCACGTTTTAAATCTGTGGCCACATCAGATGGAGGAGCCTTTATTTCATTGTGTTTATCTTCTGGGACCTCACCTACCCCCATTCAGTCACCAGCTTGTCAGCAGTCTCTCTTGTGCTTACAGGGACATTTGTCTAAGGAAACAGCTGCTTCAACAGAATTTGACAAGCGATTGTTCTCAGTGGACACGTCATAGTCTGAGTAGGTGTAGTAGTTTAACTCAAGTATAAAATTCACTACTCTATTATTTGAACACGTTTAGTTGAGATCGTTTAACCATCTTTTCCCATTAATCTGATCACTGATGGTGCTGGAGCTAAGCTTTGAGCTAGTTCTGTAGGAACTAATAGTAAAATAGTGTCATTGCTGTGAATGCCACAAAACAAATTACATTTAATTTTATTGGGGTGTTGGCAGAAACCTTGTTGTAAAGACATCTTAAAACAACTAAACTGGCTAGACACTGTAAAGGCCAATTTATACTTCTGCGTTGAGTCTACACCAATGTGTGCTTTTATACATGTGCACTGGTGTCCACGTCGCTCTACAATTACACCCCCAAAAACTATCTGGCTGTAGGGTTTCTATATTCCACAGTATTGAGTTTCTTCTTCTTTGTTGGTGTAGGCAACTACAAACAATGGCGACTGAAACTGAGCAGATCATGCTAGAGTTGGAGCTGATCGATGCTGAACAGCAGTCACTTTTAGAGAAGTTACTAAAACGCAGAAATGAGAGAAGGCGTCGGGAGGAGATTGTATGTACAACCTGTGAACCAGTTGAGGCAGAAGGACAAGCCAGAAATGCGTATAGGACGAAATGCGATGCTACCAAGCCGACCAATTACAGTTCTTGTGGTCTGTGTTGCCGTGACGTGCAGTTACATTTCTGGGCAGGTGCGCGCCAGGCTATGCCATAGATTCAACGGAGAAGTATAAATTGGCCTTTAGGCGTGACTGAGTTTTGAGGAAATTTAGGTGAATGGACCCTGTAATCACAATTACAGCATGTGTAGCCAGGAAGTAATGTTTTTTACATCTGGTGTTTATTAAATTAACTTATATAATAAATATATTTAAATTCTGAAGAGAATAAAATGCAACAAACAAAGAGTCAAGCTTGATGAAAAAGTTCAGTTTTTATCAGTTTTCTCCCCTACCTTCTACTGGATGTAAGAAATAAAAATGCACATCGTTGCTGGTCTACATTATGATGTATTTTGATCAGGAGCGTTTCAATAAAAATACAGATGTCTCAGCAGATTTTACAAATTAATAATAATAAAAAAAACATTTGCAATGATACTCATGCACTTTTACAATACTTAAGTATGAGTGCACTTTACATGTACATTCTCATATGCTGATGCCTTTTGCATGACCGATATTTTCTAGCAAAGTAAAAGCACACTACTACACTGTGATATGCCAAAATGAGCAATTCATTGTTACATACATAATTTATCTAGCTGTTTTACAGGAGTGAGGTCAATATCGGGCTGCATGCCCTGGTTCTTCTGTACATGAATGCTGATGTGTTTGTGTGTGTGTATACACTGTGTGTGGTGTTATTTCTATTAGTGTTCTGAACATGAGTACATGGTTTCTATTAGTGTATACCATTTTCCTAATGGTACCTATCTACAATTAGCGTTTTTACATCCCTCAAGTAATAAAATTTATCTTTTTGGTCTCATAGTAGGCTTATATGGAGTGTTAAGAGAGGAGTGAAATGAGAGGTAAAGAGTTGGCAATCTTACGGTTTTCTCAACCTTTCTGTTTCATCTGCAGGTATCAAGCCACATTGTCAAGTATTTTGAGAGACACATCCAACAAATGAATAAATAAATAAATACATATCATACATTTTACATTACGTACAATACATTCCCTTGAGTAAATACCGTATTTACACATGCGATCAGGGACTGAATGTTAGACAGCCTCTCGCTACAGTTGCACCATCCGGATCGGTCACTTGTGTCAAACACAGTCATCGATTCACTTTGCCGGAGCCTTTACACTCATGGATCAGACCCCTCCCCCTGGAGCTGTGCCCCCACTGACCCTGCCCTCCGGACCGGTCTTGCGGATGAGGGTGCCGAGCAGGAGGGGAACCGGAGAAGCTGGACGGAGAGCGGCTGCGTCCCTGCAGCGCCCCGCCTTCGCGGAACTCCTGGCGGGAGGGGGAAGAGCTTAGCGAGCGCTGCAGGGAGGAGGAGCTGCGAGGGCGAGGAGGAGGGCTGAAAAGCATTCCGCTGCGGTCCTGCATCAGCTGAGTCAGACTGGCCAGGAAGTCTGCGTCGCTAGTGCTGCTTGCACGCACTCGTAAACGCCGTCGTCTTTAGAGAAGAGAAAATTTATTATATGTATATATATATATATATATACACACTTTGATAAGATGCCTTTTGTATGATTATTTGAATAGGCTCTCTTGGACTCAAATTGTTACCTACATACAAGGTATTCACAGGAAATGGTGCAGCCATTAATGTAATATTATCTCACTAATCACTCACTGTTCACTCTCCTGCTTCATATTAAAAGCCTTCAACCTGCGAAACACAGGGTGGCTTTTATTGTGACGTAGTCAAAGGAAACCCAATGTGTTTGTCACAGGGGTTAGAGATTAGTTTTGACTGCCGATCAATTTCAAATAAAATAATAATAATAATAATAATAATAATAATAAATGTAACCGCCACAGTGAGCTGTTAGATGAAGAGTTTCAGGTGACAGGCTGCATACCTCGAACTCCTCAGCAAGGTAATTGTTGCTGAGGAGGATATTATTGTGCGGAAAACTATTTGCACTGCGTGTAGCATAAAATCAGACTGAAGTTTCTTGCCTGATGGAAAAGGCCAATTACTTACAGACATCTTAAGACACAACAATTGCTCTTCTGTAACAGTTCTGACAAAGTAGCTGCTTGAGCGTTTGCTGTAGTTTTAAACTGCACTTGCTGATACCCTAACCCTAACACAGGTGTCGCCAAATCAACCAGGACTGAAATCTAAAGAGGTGGTATTATGCTCATTTTCAGGTTCAAAATCTTATTTAGGGGTTGTACCAGAACAGGTTTACATGGTTTCATTTTGAAAAAACATCATATTTTGGTCTTATTGTACATTGCTGCAGCTCCTCTTTTCACTCTGTGCTGAAAGCTCCTTTTTAGCTAAGGAGTGATACATCTTACCTCTACAATATCTTTGTTGGGAGTTGCACATGCGCAGTTCCTAATTAAGGACTACTACCCAATCAGAAGCAGGGTAGGGCGGGTCGTGAGAAGCCTAAACACGGCTTTAGCTGTATATCCCCTTACCATCTTATCAACATCGACTGAAGCAAGAGTTTCAGAGTGGTGAGTTATTAATCTGTAACAAATGTATCTTTCATACATAAAGTTTTAACTGAGCTCTGTCTCTACATCACAGTTGCAACTTTATGTCCATTGACTACCTGGAGGGAAGCTAGTGTTTGGAAGGTAGAGGAGAGGAAGCAGGCGGACATCTTGTCACTGTGTACTGCAGCTCAGCGGGTGTTTCCACTGGTGTTTTAGAGGGCGTGCCTGCCTCGTCACTTGGCGAGCATTATGACGCATATTTCGCGGTGACGTCACAGCAAAGTGGAAGAAAAGGCTGGGCTACAAACGAGCTGTTTTCATGCAGTTCAGAGCAGAATTTTCTGCTTAATAAAGAAGAGGGAAAAAGCCAACAAGCATAATATGACCTCTTTAAGGATTATAATTAATTAAAGTATTTACCATCTTAAAAAAAAAAAAGTGACAATTGATCTTGTTCAACTCTAATGTCATACCTGTTGTCCACACATGGGCGGATGGGTGGTTTCCCTGGTGGTGGTCGAGGCAGAAACCTGCTAGTGAGTTGCTCAGGTATAAAGGTGGCGCTCACAGGACGTGGGATCTTACTTTTACTGCCTGACGAGGAGGACAGAGAGAGAGGGTCTTCTCCTGCACAGTCGGACCTGGAGCCTCGCTCCGAAGAGAGCCGGTCTCTCAGCAAAGCGCAAGGCAGGTTGTCACAGGACAGAGATGGAGAGGGTGAGTGGGTGGGGGAGCCAGGGACCGGACTGCTCCAGCGATGACGCCTCTCCATGTTGAGGTCTCTGTTCGGAGAGTCCGGAGGGGCGCCGGGGTCTCGTATTGGGATTCGACTCATTCTTGGAGACGAGGGAGAGTCTCTTCGCCTGAGCACAGCCGGGGGTGGAGAGGAGGAGACGGTGACGGTGCTCTCCATAGCGCCTCCTGCTG